TGAATAATCAAGAATTTACCCTTGCTCCCGGTAAATTTCAAATATTTCAAATAGCGCCTAATGCCATTCCATGGTAGCTGCGATCATGAACATCTCAGAATATGCAGTTCCGATATATAATTTCCAAATGGGAATAGCAAATCGGTCGATTGTAGTCAAGAAACATTGTTTTAGAGCTTAAAAGGGCGCTATACAACATAAAGAGTTTATTATTTACAATTGTATTACTTTAGACTCGATTTCAACCGCGACAATGATCATTGAATATTGTAAAATCGCATAGGCTTATGTTCATTTGAACCAAATTCATGACCCCTTACCAAAACTTTGTAATACCTTTAATGTTAAAGTAAAATCTCTTTAAAAAACGGAACGGAGAGCCGAAAGCACTACGTATCATATTTAGTGACGCCTGATTTTTGTTTCCATTGCAAACTCGGAGGTTTATCAGTCATCATTCTTTGTAGGGTTGGTGTTACTCTTCCAAAAGTCATGTAGCTCGATCATAGATTTAAAATCAAATCCTATTCTATAGAATTGGTTTCATCGCTTCTTTTCTGACGCTTCTGTATCATTTTTGTGTAAAAGACATTCATAGAACATTCGGAAATGCGATACGAACTTATCAAACGACAAAAAAATACCTTTTGATGCAATCATGGACGCTACTCTCGTAAACATATTATTTCTCTGACAAAATATATACAATTAAAATCATTAAAAGCCTTTAGGCGTTACAGTAGGCCTACATCCTTGTACTCGTGTGCATGTAACATTGTACATGTCTGAATGTTTTTACTCAATTACCGTATGCATACCGCCTGTTATTTAAATATGCAATATTGAAACCAAACCAAATGTATAGTAAGTTGATTTGATAAAAGGTAGATTTCATAGTGAGACTGAAGGACGATTTACTTACTCAAAATAGAAAGCAGCGTCAAAAGCATCCGATGTCCCATTTTCACAGCTACAAAAATCACGACTAGATATCAAAAACTCGTTTTAATGTCGATACAACTTCCAAGTGAAGAGTCTATTACATTATGCCTTGGTTCAATCAAAGAGAAATATTTGGGTAACAAAAGAGTTCAGGAATAATAAACACATTTCAGTTGCAGCTTGCCCCGGAGACTCCTCTCAATATGTAATTGCATTTACATCAAAAGAGAAAAATCAATTTGCCATGCCGTCAAGTTTGGAGGTAGAAATCAATCGATGATATCATTTTCAAATTGGAGTCCAAGTCCAAGCAACAGTCTTATTGTCCATGGAGAAATAGTATGGAAATAGGTGTTGTGCTCTGACTGGCATCATCCGTGAAGAATGATCAATAGTGGAGCAGACGGTCGCTTCAGTTTACCGTCCCGTGAACTCGCGTTTGGCGGGTAATGAAAGATCGGCCGGGCGGGCTGGTATCCATCGTCATCCCGCACGTCAATTTTTAATACTCTTCTTCGTCAAAAATCGTTTAGCTTAACTTCTCTCTCTCTCTCTCTCTCTCTCTCTCTCTCTCTCTCTCTCTTCTCTCTCTCTCTCTCTCTCTCTCTCTCTCTCTCTCTCTCTTTCTCTCTCTCTCTCTCTCTCTCTCTCTCTCTCTTTCTCTCTCTCTCTCTCTCTCTCTCTCTCTCCATCTCTGTCATTTTGCCCCAGCTTCTTCTCCAGGCTCGTAAAAACAAGGAATAACATAAGAAAAGGTTATAGAATCAAGAAACAAAGGAAAGCGCAAGGAAAGATTGGAAGAGAAATTAATATAATAATACAAATAAGAATAACATAGGAGAAAAGGTTAGCTCATGTTATATATTGATACATGTATTATTTCATTTGAATATTTTTAATGAAAGTATTGAATAAAGTGAACATGAACTTGAACTATATAGAAGGAAGAAACAAAGAATAACATAACAAAGGGTTGTAGCAGAAAGAAACAAAGAATAGTATATTTGTAAAGCGCTTAGAGACATTAATGTATTAAGCGCTATATAAAAATTAAATATTATTATTATTATTATTATTATTATTAATAACATAAGGAAAGGTCATAGAAGCAAGAAAGAAATAATAACATAAGGAAAGGTTATAGAAGGAAGAAATATAGAATAACATATGAAAGGTTATAGAAGGAAGTAAACAACAAAAAAAGGATAACGTAAGAAATAGTTATAGAAGGAAGAAATATAGAATAACATATGAAAAGGTTATAGAAGGAAGTAAACAACAAAAATAGGATAACGTAAGAAATAGTTATAGAAGGAAGAAACAGAGAATAACATAAGAAAAGGTTATAGAAGGAAGTAAAAAAGGGTAACATAAGAACAAGTTATAGAAGAAAGAGACAAAAGATGACATAAGGAAAGGTTATTTGAAGGAAGAAACAAAGAATAACATAAGGAAAGACGGACAGAGAAAATGATAGAATAATAAAAACAAAGAATATAAGAAAAAGGTTATAGAAGGGAGAAACAAAGGATAGCGTAAAGAAAGAAAGAGAAAATAATAGAATAATATAAACAAAGAATAACATAAGAGAGGGTGATAGAAGAGAAAAACAAAGAATAACATAAGGAAATGTAGAAAGAAAATGATAGAATGATAAAAACACAGAAATTACATAAGAAAAGGTGATAAGGAACAAACAAAGAACAGAATATGATGTCACATGCAAGATGAATGAGAGCAGGAGCATTTTTTTAGGATGGAGCTGAGAAAACTATTCCAACAAATATGTACAAATTTATGAAATATATTTAGATGTTTGAATAACAAAATTTGAGTTGTATGCAGCCCTGCACATCAAGAGGAATCAACTTGTATATGGAATTCACCCGACCTTTTAGCAGATGAACTCGGGAAGTATGAGATTGAAATAAATGTCAATCACTAAATCATATGCCCGCCGACGAGCCCTCAATAAGAACCGAAAATTGATGTCACAACGACTATAAAAACGGGGGAGTGTTCGGCTTGAATTGTCAATATTCATTGGATGATTGGACATTTGCCCTCGATATTTTGTTCTATTATTTTTAAAAGGCGCAGTGCAATGCAACTTAAAAGTTAGATTTCAAAAAAAGTTTCAATGTTTTTATTCATATCCATGTGTTTTTGATATATTATACATGACTGAATCATTTGTATAATTTTGATTTAGGTCCTATGGAGTTTCATAATCATGTAGGCAATATCAAAATATGTGTTAATGATATCAAGTCTCAGGTTCACATAACATTTTTCCTCTTAAAGGTATAGACCAGTTTTGGAAACGCCCCCTCTCAAAAATTAAATGGAAGCTCTTATTACCAATCCTGTGAAAGAATATGTTTTGACGAATACGTGATAATACAAATTTTGCCGGGAAACCACCTACTAATTTAAAGAAAAGGGTCCTTAATTGCGTAGGACAACGTCAAATTTTATGAATGTGGCTTTTGATTATGAACAGTGGAATTCAATGAAGTTATATTTATTTGCAAGTGAGCGAGCAACAAATTTGGCCACATTTCTTTGACAACATTTCTAGACAGTCAGGCGTACTATTGGTAAAGAATGACATCTATGGATATACAGTGTACTTCTTTAAAAAGGGAACATAACTTTCTCCAGCATCATCTCTGCACATAAACATAGCTACAAAATTATATTGTAATACACCATAACAAATGAAAGTTTTATCCCCTTTCATACCACACCATCACCCATGCTGACAGACCCTGTGATCCCGGGCTGTTATCATTTAACTGAAATGATTTTAAAGCAACAATGTAAAAAGTACTTTGCGCACGAGAGTGGAATCTACAGGGGATTTCGCATCCTACTGAAAAAAGTGAGATTTAAAAATCGCTTTTGCATCGCGATAAAAAAATCGGTGTTTTTTTTGTCTGCGTGTGGGGCCCGAATAATGTCACTAATCTCCGCGATTCGTATCGCGAACCAATTCGCAGCAAGTCTTGCTATTTTTCAGAATAATCGCGATAGTTAACCAGGCGCTGTGTGTTTGAATGGTGCTTGATTTATTTAATCCCAGGATTCCAAGTGCGCATGCATACATCGTCGAGATTTACGCATGTTGCAGTTTGGATGCGTTCTTGTCGTCGAGCGAGAATTATCCGTGTGTGATGGTCGTCAACAAAATCAACCTTTGCATCGCGAGACAATTCTCACTAAAATATTCTTTCTCAATATACAACTTCTAGACCCTCCTCTCTTCTCTACCCTTGATTTTCTTTTTCTTCTTTTCTCTCTTCTTCTTTTCTTTTTGTTTGTTTGTTCGTTCTAATATATGTTGGTGTGTGTTTTGTATACTGTTGTACTTGTTATGTGTTTAAGTGTTGTGGGGCGGGGTAGTAGGTGTTCTCTAGCTAGCTCCTTCTCTTTTTATCATTTATCTTCTTTTTTTTTTATCATAACCTTTCTTTTTTTCTCTGAAGGAAATTTAAGAGGGGAAAAAAATATTGTGGAAAAGAAAAGAAATAATTTATACGCAAACTGGTCGAGAAAATAGTACAAACTTTATTTGCGATTTGTTTAAAATGGGAAAATATAATTTTGTTTATGTCAATATTTTTCATCTGTAAATGTGTAACTTTATTTGTAACCTTGTATGGAAATTTAAAAGTTCACTTGCAAATTTTTGTAGACCTATGTGAAGATTATTTTGTTATTTTGTATACAATGTTATAAATTATGTACAATTTTCTTTATGAGAGAAGAGAATAAAAACCTATGAAAACAAAAAATTGACATGTGTGCAAAAAAAAAATCGATCCAAATCGCGATCCAAGTCGCATAAATTGTTTTGTGTGAACGGCCTAATTCATGCAGCAACGCAGTGAAAGACAATTCATTGAATCTCACCCCGCTTTCATATTCTTCTGGTCTTTTAATCCCTTTGTCGTGTGCTTTGAGGCTAATAATGGCCTCGTATCTCATTCAAGGTTGCATAAAATATAATATATTTTATTATGACGATTAATAAAGAAACAATGTAAGATCAATTATCATGGTTCTGTGTCTTTATATTTTGTTTTCTTTCTTTGCGTTGTATTCAAATGGAATTACATGGAATTACACTACACATCACTTCTGTGAGCAAACTACTTCATCACTGGCTAAAAAACCTTATAAATTCATTCATACGCAGCAATATCATAACATTATAAGTATCATACGAAAGAGAATGAATTGAACTTTAACATGAATAGTAGGACTTTATCAGGACATAACAAATTTCCTAGTAACAGATGGAAAAATTTAGGTTTCATTTCCTTGTTTCGGTAAGGTCGACATATTCCATATATCTCATTATTAGCACATATTTTTACATTTAATGTTAGTTAGTCATGAGTCACAGGCAAGAATTCTTCTGATTCAATAAAATATAATTTATTTTGATACAACAAAGACATTGTTTCCTAATTTCTAAGCTTCAAACGAAAAGAATATAAAACCTGCTCTACAATTCAAACAGAAATAGCCTCATAACTGTACAAAACGATGAAAGGAATTTAAATTTCTAGTATTTTCTAATTTCCAAGTAGTCTTTATTACACAAGAAAATTCATGTAGAATTTCGGCATGGGGTCTATAGGTATGAAACTCCATGATGTACAAGGAAACCCTCTTAGAACGAGTATAGCATGCAATAGCAACTGTTTCATCATAAATTGCATTAAAATAATGTTTTACAAAGTGAACCATACATCCTTTTTTTTCCCGGGCATTAAGACCCCTTTTCAATTGGCTTCTTTTTGTTATTTTGTTAATGAAATTCAAATCTAATCTAATCATAATGAAATGTTACGAGATACTTCTCTTTCAACAAGATATATCTGTTTGCAGAATACAAACGTACACGTTCTACATTTATGTCAAAGACTGATGACAACTACAAAATATTTCATACTTGTCAGATTTTTACCTCTGACATTTTTACCGTGCACTTTAAAATCAAGGAACAATAGAATGATGTAAAATGAAAACACTGATTCAAACACTAAATAAAGGCACTTAAAATTGTCTGATTTTATTGCGACGTAGGATATACAATTATTTCGGCCAAGTATTACAACCAGAGAAAAATGAATACCCCGTAAATGTCCGTGTATGAGACGCACTTTTTTGTTTAAAGTTTCGATTTATGTCCCTCCACCTGGCGCTATGCCTGGCAATGTCTCCCAGCTCAGTAATCGATGTGTTGACTCACCACTCGGAAACTAGAACAACACTCAAATTTGTCTGTCATCTTGGTTAGAAAGTAATCTTTCAAATAGTTCTCAATATGTAGTTTATAATAATAATTTATCCAATTTTTCTTCTATTACACACGGCGTACCACAAGGTTCTATACTAGGTCCTCTACTGTTTTTAATTTACATTATTGATCTTACACATTCTTTTAAAAACGACATTGTTCCTATTATTTGTGACAGGTTCACAAGCACAAATCGGCGCCTTAAACTGCACCTTGCAGTTAAATGCAAGTCCTTCCCCGCGTGGGTTTTTTAACACGAACCTGGCTTGCTGCAGACAAAGTGGGCAAAATTTTTATTTTTTTTAAATCCTCTGCCCCAAATATAGGGGTGCGTCTTATACACAGGTGCGTCTTATACACGGAGATTTACAGTACTTGGGTTTTTTAATTAAAATCTGGCCTACCTGTGCCATCTTTGATGGTGAATAATTCTTTTACGAGACATTAATATACATTTGCCTCACTCGACCCAGGTGAGGTAAACGGGTATCTGGCATGGAATTAATTCCTTGAAATGCTAGAGCACCAATATTGCTAATGCCGTGGAGCGCCAGGAGTGTCAAGTCTAAAAGACATGTCTTGAGCACTATCCAAGAACCCACTATTATTATTGCTCGACTGATATGGCTTTTCTACAGTACGGATATTTATAGGTCATATTAGACTACTCTTTCAAATGAACAATTTTCTTCAAACAGAATACTAAAATTGATTTAATACAGAATGAGTTTTCATATGATACTTTAAACTAGACTTCCAAGTGAATTGTTTGCTACAAATTGAACAAAGATATGTCTTTTCTCCTGTATGGGTTCTCATATGCATATCTAGCACACTCTTCCTTGATAAACCTTTGTTACAAACAGAACAATGGAAGGGCTTTTCTCCACTATGGGTCCTCATGTGTCTTGTTAGATTTTGCTTGGTTGAGAATAATCTGTTACAAACAGAGCACTCATAGTTAGTATTTCCTCCTCTGTCTTGTGTCTTATCACAGAATTTCAGGTGGTATGTTAGACTTTTCTTCCAAAAAAACTGTTTGCTACAAAAAGAACACTGAAACGGCTTTATCTCCGAATGGCTTTTCATATGATCTGACAGTTGACTTTCAAGCAAGAACTTCTTATTACAATGAGAACACTGGAATAGCTTTTCTCCCGTATGGGATTTCAAATGCATATCTAGGTAACCTTTTCTTGAGAACCTTTTGTTACAATCAGAACACTGGAAAGGCTTTTCTCCAATATGGGTCTTCATGTGTATTCTCAGCTCATTCTTGCATGAGAACATTCCGTTACAATTAGAACACTGATATGACTTTTCCTTCGTATGGGTTTTTATATGATACTTTAGACTAGTCTTCCATATGAATTGTCTGCTACAAACAGAACACTGGAAGGGCTTTTCTCCACTATGGGTCCTCATGTGTCTTGATAGATCACTCTTAAATGAGAACCTTTTGTTACAATCAGCCTCAGGACAATGAATCTCTTTTCTATCATGGGTTTTCATGTGGTTTGTTAGCCTAGTCTCCGAAGTGAATCGTTTGCTACAAACTGAACAAAGATATGGCTTTTTTATTGTATTTTCTCCTGCATGGCTTTTCATATGCCTGTTTAGGTCACCCTTTCTTGAGAACCATTTGCTACAATGAGAACACTGGAAAGGTTTTTCTCTACTATGGGTCAACATGTGTCTTGATAGCTCACTCTTGAATGAGAACCTTTTGTTACAATCAGGACAATGAAACCTTTTTCCACCATGGGTTTTCATATGGTTTGTTAGCCTAGTCTCCGAAATGAATCGTCTGCTACATACTGAACAAAGATATGGCTTTTCTCCTGTATGGGTTCTCATATGCATATCTAGGTAACCCTTTCGTGAGAACCTTCTGTTACAATCAGAACACTGGAAAGGCTCTTCTCCAATATGGGTCCTCATGTGTCTTCTTAGCTCACTCTTGCATGAGAACTTGCTGTTACAAACAGAACACTGAGATGACTGATATGACTTTTCCTTCGTATGGGTTTTCATATGCTTGGTGAGAGAAGACTTGCTTAGACACACTTTTCCACACTCGGAGCATGGACTTGGATTATCTACATCATGGATTACAATGTGGCGTGCTAGACTTCTCCTCCACATGAACTGTTGACTACAAACAGAACAATGATATGCTTTTACTCCTGTATGGGATCTGATATGAGATAACAGATAACTTTTTAGCATGAATTTCTTATCACAATGAGAACACTGGAATGGCTTTTCTCTTGTATGGGTTTCCATATGCATGTTTAGGTAGTCCTCAGTAGAGAACCTTTTGTTACAATCAGAACAATGAAACAGCTTTTCTCCACAACGGGTTTTCATATGATACTTTAGACTAGTCTTCCATATGAATTGTCTGCTACAAACTGAACAAAGATATGTCTTTTCTCCTGTATGGGTTCTCATATGCATATCTAGCATACTCTTACTTGATAAACCTTTGTTACAAACAGAACACTGGAAGGGCTTTTCTCCACTATGGGTCAACATGTGTCTTTTTAGATTTTGCTTGACAGAGAATATTTTGTTACAAACAGAGCAGTCATAGTTAGTATTTCCTCCTATGTGTTGTGTTTTATCACAAAATTTCAGGTGGTATGTTAGACTTTTCTGCCCTAAAAACTGTTTGCTACAAATAGAACACTGGAATGGCTTTATCCCTGAATGGCTTTTCAAATGAGATAACAGATAACTTTTCAGCGAGAACTTCATATTACAATGAGAGCAGTGGAATGGGTTTTCTCCTTTATGGGATTGCTTATGTCTGTGGAGGCCAAACTTCGTTGTGAACCTATTGTTACAATGAGAACACTGAAATTTCTGGAAATAGTTTTCTCCACCATGGGTCCTACTGTGTTTTTTTAACCCACTCTTGAATATGAACTTTTTGTTACAAACAGAACACTGGAAAGGCTTTTCTCCACTATGGCTCATGCTGTGTGTTGTTAGCTTACTCTTGAATAAGAATTTTTTGTTACAAACAAAACACTGATGCCGCTTTTCTCTTCTGTTAGATACCATGTCTATTGCGCTGTCAGTGTTTGCAACTCTTTCATCACCATCAGAACACTGCTTTTCCGGTAGGCTTTCTCTTTGTTTGTTCATCCCTTCATGCTCAGGCCTATAGGAACATGAAGCACCCACTCTGTCCACTGCTGTTGGAGGCTGTTTTAGCAAATCGCTTTCTTGAACTGAAACATCATTTGAACTAGATTTATTAATCATGCTCCTGAAGTCTCTTTGAGATGAATCACAATTGGTCATTGCTTCAGCATTTGGCAGAATAGTTGAGCTGCCTTTTCTTGAGACCTCACCCTGTGTTTCTGGCTTCATACATCTCCTTTCGTCCAATTCTTCACCATGTCCTGACAGCTGCTGATTTGATCTTGTGGGGTTTCCAGCTGAGAAAAAAAAGGAATTTATGTATTATTTATTTGGAAATTTGCAAATAATTGTATAACTGAATGATAAGGCCAGAAGGGGATATACATGTACCCTTGCCCATTTAGAGTGGGGAAAGTGAAACAGAAGGATATATATGTATACACCTTACATTCTTCCTCTATCTCTTTCCCCGTAACTTTCACCCATATCGGATTACCCAAAAACAGCTTCTGATAATTGTTTAATACGATTGTATTCAAGACTTGTGATGTCCTCCTCTCATTAATGATTTACATAATATTATAATCTTTGAAGAGTTCAAAGGATTGAATCGGTTGACTGGAAATAGAAAGGAAATGGGTTTTAAAATATTTTCATAGATGCTAACGGCTTTCTATAATTTTTAAGTCCAACTTAGAGATAAGTTCAACTTAGTATCTTTGTGAAACACCCCCCAGAACAGTAATTGAATGCAGTGACCAGTCTTACAAAGAGTTGTGATTGATCCAAATCAATCGCAAATCCTCCAATCAATCGCAAGTTTGCAGTTTCCTATCTCTTATGTACATAGTTGGGATTGATATCAATTGCAAATAGGTTGCGATTGAGATCAACTCTTTGTAAGACGGGTCCAGAGTGATAATAATGATACTGTCAGCGCTTTGGTCAGTAAAAGGAAAAGCGCTACATAAGAAGCTGGTGTTATAATCCTTATTATCATTTATGAAGATCAAAAGATTTTACCTTGAGGCTCTGCCACGTTACTTGTCTTGATCTCCTCTTCCCTATCCTCTCCTGAAATTTCTTGACTAAAACTTCCATCCCGACAGCTAAACTGCAGGTTGAGGATATCATCTGTTGAATAATAGTAAGCCAGAATCAGTATTTTGATTTGAATAGAAATGTCAAACAATTTTAACTCATGACAAAATTCCATAATGTAGTTTTACATAAAATAGTAGAGTAAATGCATCAAAACAGTTTGGAATTAAAGACCCATGAGAATGACGACAATTTTCATGTCGGCATTCTTTTAGATATTTTTCATTTCAAGCAAAATCTTGATACAAATCATTATCACATGATTATTTGATAAATACATGTTAAAATTGTGAGTTATACAATATCTTTTTTAAAATAATTTTGTGTATAGAAATAAGATCAGGGTCTTCTTTCGATAGGAAATGAGTAAATGGCATTTAACCGTTGTCCGAATTCTTTACTTGAGATATTAGCTTTCAGGGGGTTGTTTCACAAAGATTTTAAGTCGAACTTAACTCTCAGTTGGACTTAAAAATTATGGAGAGCCATTTGTAGCCTTTAATTAAAATATATTCAAAAGCGAAACCTCAACTATTTTAGACTTTTTATAAATTCCACATCAAGAACATGAAATCTCCTTGTTGATAGAAAATATGAATGATTCTGAATCAACCTTTTATGCCTTTCAAAATAACTTTTACAAAATATTTTCATAGATGCTGACGGCTTTCCATAATTGTTAAGTCCAACTTAGAGATTAATTCAACTAAGGATCTTTGTGAAACACCCCCAGAATAGTTATGAGCCTTGTGCAAATACCATGTATTCTTGATGGGTCTCTGGTCACCTCACCTTCCTCATCTTCTGTATCCTCTATCTTCAAGAAAAAGACCTGGAATCCTGTCAGGGGCTCTTCAAGAACCTTGATTTCACTCATCTTGGCTTCCCGTCTCCAACCCCTCTTTATCCTGGATGAAAACAGACACATCACAAAACACCAAGCATTGAAAGGCTGCTGGTTCATTTTTACTTAGTTTGCAGATAATGCAAGTATGTGATATTGAGGGGAATAATTTCTTCGAAAGATTTCCTTTTGTTGACAGCCACCTCTAGCCAACATTCTCTCTTCTCTCCTACCATTCCTCCTTGAATCTATTCATATTCTTGGCATGCTGTCCATCCAAGCAAACACTCTTACATTGATGATTGCACATCACACAAACTAAAAAAACCTGTGGTCTCTGGGTGGATTTGAAGTTTGGACGTCTGATCCTTTGGTCTGCAGTCCAGCAAGCTACCAATGTATCTGCGAGTTGAGCTTGAGCGGCGATATAAGCTACGATACTTCAGACTATATCTCCTGTGTCCTAGATGGCGCTATTCACTAGTCATCTAACCCTAATTTATCATTTTTTATATTATTAGATATATCATTCTAAGCTGTACCCATATTATTTCTTTTCAATTTAGGTGGCTGTCGCAAAAGGAAATCTTTCCAATTTCTGTAGAAATACAATCATTTCCAGGAAATATTCATCGGATTTTAGAATTCTTGTTCAAATTTTTAGTATATCATCTGCAGTGTAAACTCTTGTGCACGAACTTTGGACTTGTTCCTTCATTTCTTTACCTATTTCAATTAGTTTAGTATATTAATAGGCGCATGCACTGATTTCCCTGAATTTAGCTATTTACTCCCGGCTCCCTGCCATGCATTTTTACAATTTATCAATTGCTATTAAGTATCATTATTAAGTATCAAAAGTCGTTGGCGAAGCTGTTCACGATGATCAATTGCATACGGTATCGACAGTGGGGTGCGATGTGCGGGCGCGTGTGTGTTTAATAGCTAGCGACTGTTATCACAGATCCTCATTAAATTTATGTTAGTAATTCACATTATGATGATGATGATCATCATCATGGTCGTTAACTTCACGCACGCCTGCACCCCACCGTCAGTACGTGTAGTAAGCATTGCATTGACTTATATGCTCTGCTGGAGTGTTTATGCACTTGTCATTTGTAAGACGCACCTCTTGACCCCCGGGAATGGTGCGTCATGGTTGCGTCATGTTCCCCAAAATTGCGACGCACAGTACAGTCATGGCCGCAAAATGTCCGTCACAATACTGACCCATATGTGCGTCATAGTAAGTCACTTTACCACGTTGCGTCATTTGGTGTGTCAATGGGACCGTCACTTTCTCCAAGCAGAAGTGTTTCTCAAATGTGCGTCATTGGCTAGTCATTTTCATGAAATGGTGTGTCATATGTTTGACTCAAATGTGCGTCGATGGAATGTAATGGTGTGTCACTTTCTGTGACGGAAGGTGCGTCATGGTATCAAAATGTACGACTCACATCGGTACAATGACGCACAATTCCCGGGGGTCAAGAGGTGCGTCTTACAAATGACAAGTGCATTAGCAGCGGCCGGTTTGCCGTGAACCAGAGAGAAAATTATATTATAATTTATATTTGGACTATAAAATTAAAAAATAATGTTTTCCTTTTTAGGAAAAATATTCCAAAAGAGATAAGAAAAAATGAAATGGAACAGGAAAAAGAAACATCAACATTTTAAAATCATAACCATTATTTGAACAATTGATGAAGATTTAATTGATTTTTGGCATGTTTCAGCATGGACCTAAAAGTACTAGGTCCATGGTTTTAGTCACTCCATCCAGCGAAGCATAGAGAGTCAATGCTAATGCGTTTTGACCTTTAGCACTGCATACTTGCTGTGAGGCAGGTATTATACACAAATATACACACCACACAATATTGCATAGACTGCACACAATAGGACCGATTGGGCTGATCGAAAAATTTGACACTAGACAAGTTTATAATTTGAATTTTTAAATTACTCTTTTTAACATCAGTAAGTTGAAAAAATGTATTTTACTGCTATTTAGGTTTCATCAATTGTCACTAAAGTACCGATTTTGAGTAAAATCAGTTGAGTTTTGTACAGTGGTGTTTAAAATGTTGAGAGTCAAAACCACAGCTTTTACTACACAGCCAGGATAGTAATGCACCTATGCATGTGTATGTTTGATAAATAGATAAAACAGGATTCCTGTCCTTCTTGTACTTCGTAAATATAATACTTTACCTTGCTTACAAGTTAATTGCAAGCTCATTGTATAGATCAATTAAGAGAATAGCAATAAATATGGACTTTGAGTGAGATCAAAATGGGTTTGACATCAGTTTTTCTTTTTCAAAGATTAAAAAAAAAGCAACAGCTGGGTGTCGAACCCGATACCTTCCAGTTACCAGGCGATTGCCTACCCACTAGACAAAAGTGTCACATTGCTAATCTCCATGTCTTTTTTTCATACTTATACTTATTGTTGTAGATGTAGCAAAAGAAAAAAACGCAACAGCTGGGGGTCGAACCCGATACCTTCCAGTTACCAGGCGATTGCCTACCCACTAGACTAAAGTGTCACATTGCTAATCTCCATGTTTTTTTTTCATACTTATACTTATTGTTGTAGATGTAGCAAAAGAAAAAAACGCAACAGCTGGGGGTCGAACCCGATACCTTCCAGTTATCAGACGATTGCCTACCCACTAGACTAAAGTGTCACATTGCTAATCTTCATGTATTCTTCATACTTACACTAATTGTTGTAGATGTAGCAAAAGATGTTTTCTGACTAATTCAGAGAGTCGCTTGTTAAAGAAAGAGTATTACATGCTATTTTTTCTTTGTTGAGGGGGGGGGGGGGGGGTGTCCCCTTTAAAAAAGAGATGACAAGTCAATATTATGGAGTGAAGAAAAAAAAATAACATGGGTTTATATAAAGGAGAAACTGAGACTCGAACCGAGTACATTGCATTGTGAAGTGATCACTTTTATCCACAAGACCATTTTGCCTCACCGTGATAACTGGTTCGCTTTTTGTTGTTAACACTTTCTGCATGCTAATGACTTTACAAAATGTGCCGATTTACTGATTTGACGCTTTCGGGATGCATTATTATCATCATTTTTGTAGTCCGATGTTGTCAAGATTGCCCGTATTTTTTTTCTTTCAGTTACTGATATTACTGATATAATAGTGAGGTTTTATGTTTATTTCATTTAATTTGCAAACTGCTGACTTAAACTTAAAGTGATATGACAAGAGGCCACTGCCCTCACATAGTATAATGAATAGAACACGGGTCTATTCAATTCAGTATATGCTACGAATTCTATAACAGGGCACCAATGAATAGGGAAGCTTGGCTATTCGATTCTGTTTTCAATAGCTTGCACCTGCAATTTTTGAATAGTTACGTAACAAACTACTCAGCTCTTTCTGACATGGCATCAATAATATTAGTGAATTGAAAACAAACCTGACCCTCCCTTCATTGAGTGACTTTTGTTTGGTCAAATGCGAGGATTACCAAAGAGGAGGTAATAATAGCATTCCTGACATTGCAACAATGACCGCGTTATTTTGATGCATTGTCCCTAAACCTACCGAAGAGGCTCTTTGTCCTTGTCTGGGAGGACAAGCACTTTAGACTGGGGCTGTAGTCTGATTTCAAGAAAGGAAAACAATTTCGGGACAGCTCAAAATAATGCTTGGAAATGGAAATTCAAATGATACCGTTTTAAAAACCAGAAAGATATGGTTTGAGGACAAGAAGCAGGATGTAATTCATTGCTCGGCAATCTTGACTGTATTTAAAACAGAGCATCCAATATACCTGATATTTAATAGTACTGTACAATGTCAATTAAATAAAATAACTAAATAAACATACAAATAATGGACCTCTTTAGCCAAGACTGTGGATTTTTATTGTTGAGCACTAAATGATTCTGCTCGGTCATACAGGCTAGGTGGGGGAATGCTTTCAATAGACTTAAATTTGAAAGGCCCTTTGTATCACTTCGTGCAAAATGACATAGGGCACTTCTAATAAATTTATACGAGAAGTAAAACCCTGTTCATCATTGTTTTCGTGTTGCAAAGTTGTTTACAGACTGAAAAAGGGATAGTACGGGACTGTAGAGAGTGAATAAAACTAGGAAATTATAATTGCAAATGTAAAACAACGTTGTAAACCTAGCAATAAGAGGCTCTTGAATGCAGTTTTTAAATGGACATGGCTTTGGGGCTACCCGCTACCGCCGCCAGGCTACGCTGTCGATTGCCAGCTAGCTGTCGATTGCCAGCTAGCTTGCCAGCTAGCTGTCGATTGCCAGCTAGCTGTCGATTGCCAGCTAGCTGTCTAGATGGGACCCCCCTGGCGATTAATGTGGGGGGGGGGGGGGGGTGATTTTTCAAATTTTCGAGGGCCAAACAAAAAAATAGTGCTCTCTACCCCCCCCCCCCTCCCCCTTCCCCCTCTACCACTGAGTGAAATATCGGCCGGCACGATTTTTTTTTCTACATTGCTCCCCCCCCCCCCCGCAAAAGGTCCCTATTTTCTCATTGTTTTACATCAACAACAACAACAACAATAATATTTATTATAAAACTCCAAAATTGGTTTGTTTTTATAAATAATAATATCTGCCCGGCAAAATATTTGAAGTAAGTATGTAGATTAAGATCATCAGACTTTATTACACTGATGAGGTGTATTGGGTTCTCTTCACTTGTCTCTTTCTGGCTCTCTTTCTCTTTCTCTCTCTCTCTCTCTCTCTCTCATTGGGACTGAAAAAGTATTGAATGTAATAATGTTTGATAAATAGATAAAACAGGATTCCTGTCCTTCTTGTACTTCGTAAATATAATACTTTACCTTGCTTACAAGTTAATTGCAAGCTCATTGTATAGATCAATTAAGAGAATAGCAATAAATATGGACTTTGAGTGAGATCAAAATGGGTTTGACATCAGTTTTTCTTTTTCAAAGATTAAAAAAAAAGCAACAGCTGGGTGTCGAACCCGATACCTTCCAGTTACCAGGCGATTGCCTACCCACTAGACTAAAGTGTCACATTGCTAATCTCCATGTTTTTTTTTCATACTTATACTTATTGTTGTAGATGTAGCAAAAGAAAAAAACGCAACAGCTGGGGGTCGAACCCGATACCTTCCAGTTACCAGGCGATTGCCTACCCACTAGACTAAAGTGTCACATTGCTAATCTCCATGTTTTTTTTTCATACTTATACTTATTGTTGTAGATGTAGCAAAAGAAAAAAACGCAACAGCTGGGGGTCGAACCCGATACCTTCCAGTTATCAGACGATTGCCTACCCACTAGACTAAAGTGTCACATTGCTAATCTTCATGTATTCTTCATACTTACACTAATTGTTGTAGATGTAGCAAAAGATGTTTTCTGACTAATTCAGAGAGTCGCTTGTTAAAGAAAGAGTATTACATGCTATTTTTTCTTTGTTGAGGGGGGGGGGGGGTGTCCCCTTTAAAAAAGAGATGACAAGTCAATATTATGGAGTGAAGAAAAAAAAATAACATGGGTTTATATAAAGGAGAAACTGAGACTCGAACCGAGTACATTGCATTGTGAAGTGATCACTTTTATCCACAAGACCATTTTGCCTCACCGTGATAACTGGTTCGCTTTTTGTTGTTAACACTTTCTGCATGCTAATGACTTTACAAAATGTGCCGATTTACTGATTTGACGCTTTCGGGATGCATTATTATCATCATTTTTGTAGTCCGATGTTGTCAAGATTGCCCGTATTTTTTTTCTTTCAGTTACTGATATTACTGATATAATAGTGAGGTTTTATGTTTATTTCATTTAATTTGCAAACTGCTGACTTAAACTTAAAGTGATATGACAAGAGGCCACTGCCCTCACATAGTATAATGAATAGAACACGGGTCTATTCAATTCAGTATATGCTACGAATTCTATAACAGGGCACCAATGAATAGGGAAGCTTGGCTATTCGATTCTGTTTTCAATAGCTTGCACCTGCAATTTTTGAATAGTTACGTAACAAACTACTCAGCTCTTTCTGACATGGCATCAATAATATTAGTGAATTGAAAACAAACCTGACCCTCCCTTCATTGAGTGACTTTTGTTTGGTCAAATGCGAGGATTACCAAAGAGGAGGTAATAATAGCATTCCTGACATTGCAACAATGACCGCGTTAT